GCCTGTAATCCCAGTTACTTGGGAGGCTGAGGCAAGAGAATCACTTAAGCCCAAGAGTTTGAGGTTGCTGTGAGCTATGACACCACAGCACTCTACCGAGGGAGACGAAGTGAGACTCTGTCTCTAAAAAAAAAACAAAATAGCCGGGTATTGTGGCAGGCACCTGTAGTCCCAGCTACTTGGAAAGCTGAGGCAAGAGAATGAATCACTTGAGCCTAAGAGTTTGAGGTTGCTGTCAGCTGTGATGCCATGGCATTCTTCTGAAAGCAACCTAGTGAGACTCTGTCTCAAAAAAACCCCAAAAAACCTAAAGTCCTTTTTTTTGAGACAGAGCCTCAAGCTGTCCCCCTGGGTAGAGTGCCATGGCATCATAGCTCACAGCAGCCTCCAACTCCTGGGCTCAAGCGAGGCTCCTGCCTCTGCCTCCCAAGTAGCTGGGACCACAGGCACCCGCCACAACGCCCGGCTATTTTTTGATTGCAGCCATCATTGTTGTTTGGTGGCCCTGGGCTAGATTCGAACCCACCACCTTAGGTGTATGTGGCTGGCACCTTAGCCACTTAAGCCACAGGTGCTGAGCCAAAACCTAAAGTCCTTTAAAATGTCCCTTAGGTCTTGGCACCCGTAGCACAGTAGTTATGGTGCTAACCACATACACCAAGACTGGTAGGTTCAAACCCAGCCCAGGCCAGCCAAGCAACAATGACGACTGCAACAAAAAATAGCCAGGAGTTGTGGCAGGTGCCTGCAGTCCTAGCTACTTGGGAGGCTGAGATAAGAGAATTGCTTAAGCCCAAGAGTTTGAGATTGCTGTGAGCTGTGATGCCATGGTACTCTACCAATAGAGACATAGTGAAACTCTGTCTCAAAAAATAAATAAATAAATAAATTAGTCCCTTAGGTCCCTCCATGATCCTCCTGTCAATCTCTGTGGCCTCTTTCCAGTACCTCCCTCCAGCCACACTGGCCTTTCTGCTATTCCTCAAACGCTAGCGCCCCCCCATCCGACATGCCCTAAACTTCTACTCACCTGTTTTATTTTTCTACAGTACTCCTCGCCATCTAACATGATATATAACTTGCTTATTTACTTTGTTTGTTGTTTATGTTCTGCTTCCTCCACATAGGATCTCTATAGATCATTGTTTAGCTTGTGATGTATCATCAATGCCTAGAACTGTGCCTGGCACGTAGTAGTTGCTCAATAAATAGTTGTTACATGAATAAAGGAATGGACTGATGTAGCAGTGACCTGGGAGGCCATGATGAGACCTTGGACAAGACCCTTTTCTCTTTGGGCCTCAGTTTATGCTCTGTGATTCTACAAAAGACCCAAGGCCCTGAAGTAGGGCCTTGCCTTCCTCCCTCTGGGTTCTGTGCCTAAGTATATACCAGGCACTTCTGGTAAGTAGGGCCTGAAAGCCATGGTGGTCACTTGCTGACAGCCTGGGGTGTTGGAAGCACCAGCAGCTGCCACCTCTACTCCTCCTCCACAGGGGAGACTAAACTGGTCCAACTGGTTCTCCTGGGGCATAGGGACACCTGCTCAGTCAACCAAGACTTGTAACTCCCCGCCTCAGTCATTTGGCCCAGATATTCTCTGCTCCGTCTTAAGACAAAGGAATGTGTCCTTTGCATCAGACATTACTTCCCAGGACTTCAAGTAAACAATTTCTCAGCCTAAATGGCAGATTCTTACTGGGGAAAATTCACCCCTGGCCCTCCCTGGGGTGGGAAGAGGAGATGGGTAAAGCCAGCCTTGTTCTCTCAAAGTTGTTGTTCATTCATTTAACAAACATTGAAGGCTGGGCCTGGTGGCTCACACCTGTGATCCTAGCACTCTAGGAGATAGAGACGGGTGGATTGCCTGAGCTCACATATTCAAGACCAGCCTGAGCAAGAGCGAGACCCTGCGTCTAAAAATAGCCAGGCATTGTGGTGAGCACCTATAGTCCCATCTACTTGGGAAGGTGAGGCAAGAGGATCCCTTGAGTCTAGGAGTTTCAGGTTGCTATGAGCTCTAATGCTACCACTCTATAGGCACCACTCTACTGAGGACAACAAAGTGAGACTCTATCTCAAAAAAAACAAACAAACAAAAAAGAAAAACAGGGCGGTGCCTGTGGTTCAAAAGAGTAGGGCTCTAGCCCCATATACTGGAGGTGGCGGGTTCAAACCTGGCCCCAGCCAAAAACTGCAAAAAAAAATTAAACAATTCATAGGCACTCCTTGCCTTTGTGGAGTTTTTGTTTCAATAAAGATAACAGACAAAAAAGAAATGTCTGACATAGTGTCGAGGATAATAAATAAAAATAAAGCAGGAGAAGGAATGAGAGAACAATGGGGGTGGGGGCCTCTCTGAGAAAATGACTTTCAAACAAAGGTGAAAGAGGAAGGGAGCCCACCATATGAAAATTTGGAGAAAGAACATTCTAGACAGAGGGGATAACAACAGCAAAGGCTGTGAGGCAGGAATTAGCTCAGATGATGGTGGAGCAGCAAGAAGGCTCATGTGGCTGAGGTGGGGGGAGAGAAGGAAAGAGTAATGGGATATAAGTTTGAAGAGTTAGGCTTGGTGCCCGTAGCTCAGTGAGTAGGGTGCTGGCCACAGACACCAAGGATGGCAGGTTCGAGCCCAGCCCAGGCCTGCTAAACAACAATGATAACTGCAACCAAAAATAGCCAGGCATTGTGGTAGGCGCTTATAGTCCCAGCTATTCGGGATGCTGAGGGAAGGGAATCACTTAAGCCCAAGAGTTTGAGGTTGTGTGAGCTGTGACGCTGAGGGTAGTAGTGAGACTCTGTCTCAAAAAAAAAAGTTTAAAGAGTCAGGTAGGGGGCGGCACCTATAGCTCAAAGGAGTAGGGCACCGGCCCCATATGTCTAAGGTGGCCCATTCAAACCCAGCCCCGGACAAAAATTGAAAAAAAAAAAAAAGAGTTAGGTAGGGCCACATTGTAACCTTGAAATCTATGGGGGAAATGTTGGATTTCATTTTGGAAGAGATCCGAGATCAGAAACCAGTGGATTTTTTTTTTTTTTTTTTTTTTTGAGGCAGAGTCTTACTTTGTAATCCTTGGTAGAATGAGGTGGTGTTAGAGCTCACAGCAACCTCAAACTCTTGGGGTCAAGGGATCCTCTTGCCTCAGCCTCCTGAGTAGCTGAGACTACAGGCACCTGCCACAATGCTCAGCTACTTTTTTTGTTGTTGTTGTTGAGACAGAGTCCCACCCTATGCCCCTGAGCCGAGTGCAATGGCATCATAGCTCACTGCAACCTCAGACTCAGCTGTGGGCATCCTGTTGCCTCAGCCTTTAGAAGCCTCTAGGATCACAGGCACTCGCGTCGCCCAGTTCTGTTTTTCCATTTTTTTCATGAGTCGGGGTCTCACTCTTGCTCAGGCGAGTCTTGAACTCCTGAGCTCAAGCAGTTCTCCCTCCTCAGCCTCCCACAGTGCTGGGATTACAGGCGTGAGCCACTGTACCTGGCTGCCCAGCTACTTTTAAGAGACATCGTCTTGGTTAGTGCCCTGGGCAAAGACTCACCCCACACAGTCATGTCCTGCTACCTGCACCCTCCAACACGTCTCTGTTCATCCAGAATGTGGCAGATGACACAAGGTCTGAAGATTTACCATGTGAATTTTTGGTCATTATGGTCCTATAGTTGATGTGTATGTCCCACTTGATTTCTACACACACCGTCCAAGAGGATTTGCTTATATTCAATTTGAGGATGCTCACGATGCTGAAGATGCTTTGCATAATTTGGACAGAGAATGGATTTGTGGACACCAAATTGAAATACAGTTTGCACAAGGAGATCGGAAGACACCAAGTCAGATGAAAGCCAAGGAAGGAAGAAATGTGTACAGTTCTTGACACTATGATGATTATGATAGATAGACATTCTAGAAGCCGAAGTTATGAAAGAAGGAGATCAAGAAGTCGGTCTTTTGATTACAACTATAGAAGATCCTATAGTCCTAGAAATAGACAGATTGGAATACAAGGGCGTAGCAGAAGCCACTCCGACAACGATAGCCAAGCAAGCAAGAAGAAAAATGAGGGATAATGCTTCAGTGAGAGAGGAAAGGTGCTGAATCCAGTATGCATTGTTAAGTTACAACCCAGGGAAAAGGCCTGGGAACTATTGCATTATTCGCTTGAAAATTTGGCCCAGTAAGCTGCTACATCCAGTTCAACTAACAAAATCCTGTATACCGCAGAGAATAAAGAAAACCAAACAACAAACATTCTTCTTTTATTTAAGACCAAACCGCAGCTGGAATACCCAGTACAGTTCTGCTTACTACACTTCAGGAAAGATCTGAAAGAGGATCAAGAACCAAAGAAGGGCAGTTCAAGTGACCAAAGGGTGGGTGGAAGGTGCTGCAGTATGAATAATGTCTGAATATTTTGACTCTGGTCTAAAAAGATAAAAGAATGTTATTGAAAACTACATGGAATAACTGAAGTCCCTTTACATTTGAAAGTAAGCATTTTAGGACAAATAAAAGGAAATTCAACTTTGTACTTGTGGAAACGAATCCCTAAATATGAATAGGTTTATGTTGATTCATGGGTAACAGGTCCTAAATAAATTATTGGAAACTAAAAAAAAAAAAGAAAGAGAGAGAGAAAGAGAGAGAGATGTGGTCTCACCCTTGCTCAGGCTGGTCTCAAAAACTCATGAGCTCAACCAATCCACCTGCCTCAGCCTCCCAGAGTGCTAGGATTACAGGAGTGAGCCACCGCGCCTGGTCTGCAAAGTGGAATTAAAAGTAGCCACAACTTAAAAAAAAAAAAAGTAGCCTCTACTTCAAAGTGCTTGGGACAGTGCCAGGCACCTGAAAAATGTTAGTTCTGGTAAATGTGCATGCATGTGTACAGGAAAAAGCAACAGAAATACAACCTAAATAATCACATTAGTATGGAGATGTGGTTTTAAATAATTCCTTTAATATCATTATTACAATTTAAAAAAACTTTACTATGTCCCTTATACAGAGAATGAAGTACAAATTTCCTAAGCCAACATTCAAAGATCTCTCTCTCTCTTTTTTTTTTATATTAACCCTTATTTCAATAGAGCAAAGTGGCTAAGAGCACCTGCAGGCAGGCCATGCTGTCTTGAATCCAAGCTTTGTGGCTTACTGTGTGAGCTTGGGCAAGGAACTTGGCCTCTCTGTGCCTACTCGTCTTCATCTGTAAAATAAGGAAAGTAATAGCATCTACATGATAGGCTGAGGCAATGTGACAGTGTCCATCACACAGAGAAGACTTGAAAAATCAGCAATTATTATCCAACTATTCCTTCAAAACTTCTGGTCACCCTGGGCCATTTGCTGGCCCCAGAACATGACTGGTTCTGCACCATCACAGCTCGGGGTCTTTGTTGGTGCCTTAATCTTACCTGGCATGCCTTCCCCTAACTATGTATCAAAGCACTTCATGCCAAGGTCCCTCCCAAATGGCATCCCCTCCGAGACTTCCTGTCACGAATCCTCTTCTGGCTTGTTTGAAGACTGTTACACTTAAAAGACTTCACTCAACCCCATCAACTTGTCCCTCTTGGTACTTCATAACCTTCCTGAGGATATGGGAAGTCAGTCCTAGCTCTGAAATCCAACCTTGGGTCACAACACAGATGTCTGAGGGTCATGCCAGCCTTCAAAGACACTCAGTCTGTCAATCTGAGTCAGACTACCCTGGCATGTCCCTTTTCCTATAACAGAAGTAATGTGGCCCAGAGAGTGGCTGTGAAGATAAACAGGGAAATACTGGTCAAGGCCCCTTTTGTCCTTCCTGCCTCCCACCTGGACTAACGGCAAGGGGTGCCAGACATGGGGGCATAGAGGATCATACGGACACCCACTTGCCTGAGGACTTCTGGCTTTGGTCAGTTTGATTCCAAAAGGTTTGAGGTGAGGCTTAGGTGAATTTTCACAAGCGAGTATAAACCCCTTCCCTTGAGTGTTTCCATGGTCCATGTTTTCATGGACCACGTTCTGTAATAACTGTCCTGGGAGCACCAAACCGGCTCCCTCCTTGATAACCTCCTCATGGCTGTTGGTGTGTAAGGGGGCATGGGACCCTCTCAAGCCCCACGTGCTTTAGTGCTGCCACCTAGGAGCTAAGAAAGAAACTGCCAAGGCTCAGGCCTGAGCCATTTGGACATGTTTACTGAGTACTTTCTAAATGCTGGGCACCATGCCAGCCCTTTGCACATTTCATCATCCTGGGTCCCCATGACAACCCTATGAGGTAGTACTATCATAAGCCCCACTGTGCAGATGAGAAACACAGGGATCAGAGAGGTGAAGTGACCTTCCCAAGATCACACAGCAAGTGTGTGGCAATTCTTGGATTTGAAGCCAGATATGGTTTATAGCTGCACTCTAGCCATGATACCTGAGTGCTCCTAAAAGTCTTCATCACAGAGTTGTCTAAGGACGCTGTGAGGAACTGTCTGTGAAAAAGTCCAACAGATAAGGACTCTGGCCATGTCAGGCTTCCTGAAGAGCAGCTGGCCAGAAGCCATCCCAAGGCAGCCTGGAGGTAGAGTATCTGGGACCATCCTTTCTTCTATCTTAGGTGACCCAACCCCCAGCCCAGACCAGCCAGACCCTGGGCTGCTCAGGTTCAGACTATCTCTCTGCCATTGCACCATCCAGAGACCATAGGCAGTCCTGCCCCAGACCCCCAGAATGCTGCAGAGCTTTCCAGCAGGACAAGGAACACAGGAGCGTGCCACAGGCCATGGTCTATGAATGACATTCAAAAGGACTTCTGCTTCCTTCCACAGGGAAAGATCTCTAGTCTTCCCCCAGAAGCCCTGGGCCCAATGTAAATATTAGGCCAACCTATGGGAGCAAACATCCCAGGCCCATCATTCTGAGGCCTGGATGTAGACAGGTACAGCAAGCATGGCACATGGGCCCTCGCCCCCAGCCTGCAGCTCTGCCAGCGCCAGGTTGGAGCCCAACCCTTCTGCATGTCCAGGCACCACTAACTCAGGTTCTCCACCCACTGCACCACCCACCACGATGGACAAGACAGCATCTGGCTCCGTGAAGGGCGGCTTGCCTGGGGCAGCCTCAGGCACTGGTCCAGTCCCTGTGTCCTTCAGCTCCTCCAGCTCCAGCGGGTCAGGCAAGGGGGTAACTACCTTGTGCCCACCACTGCTGCTGCTGCGGGGAGCTGCCCTCCTCCGGGAGGGCCGTCGGGCTTGCAGGTCCTTGTCTTTTGTGGAGCCAAGGCGGCAGCAATGATCCTTGAGGTACTTGTGGCGAGAAAAGCCCTTGGCACAGCCAGCACAGCGGAACTTGTAGTTGCCTGTGTGGGCGCGCTGGTGCTCGGCGAGGTGGGCACGGCGGCTGAAGGACTTGCTACACAGGGCACATTTATGGAGCTTCATGCCTGGGGAGCAAGGAGACGTCAAGGGGGAGTACCCAGACCCTACCCTGTAACAGTGTCCTGCACTGGGATCCAGTCTCTGGCCCTATGAGCATCTATAGGATCTGGCTCCAGGGTCCTCCACTCTCATCTCCTACCTTCTCCAGCCACACTTACTCTCCTCACATGTACCACGCTGGCTCCTGCCCCTGGGCCTTTGGACTTGCTGTTTCCCTCTGCTTGGAACAGCCTGCTCAATCCCTAAGCCTTGGCTAACTTTCTCATCTGGATGACCAGGGCAGCAATTCCCTTACCCATTTGCCTCCCTCACCCCGGGCCCCTCAGACCATTCCCCACATGGCAGCTAGAGGCCTCTTTGTAAAACATACCAGTGATCATGACATTCCCTGTGCAAAGCCCCCACTAACCAAGGTTCCCAGAGGCATGGTACTGTCTGATCATCCCTTCACCTCTCAGCCCCATCTCCTCTCTCTGCCCTGTTCCTTAGGCTCCAGACCTACTGCTGCCTTTCCTTGTCTTGAACACTCCCAGACTACCCTTGCCTCAAGACTATCCATGCTGGGCAGCACCTGTGGCTCAAAGAAGTAAGGCGCTGGCCCCATATGCTGGAGGTGGTGGGTTCAAACCCAGCCCTGGCCAAAAACTGCCAAAAAAAATAAAAAGACTAGCCTTGCTATCCCCTCACCCTGGAAAGGTATTTCCAGTTTCTTTCATTCCTCTAGACTCAGCAGGCTATCATCTCCTTAGGGGGGCCTCCCTAATGCTGCAGCCTTCATACTTGGCCCATCGCTGTGTTTATTTCTCTTTGCACTCTGTATACTTTGCTATTATATATTTATTTATTCATAGGTTCTTTTCAGTTTCCTACACTAAATATGTTAAGCTTTCCCAAAAGGGCAGAGTAGGGTTCTGCCTGTCTAGTGCTCTCTCATCACACCCACTGCCTGACACGCAGTCAGTTCCCAAGAGTCACTACTCACAGAATGAATCACTGGTGCCTCCATGACCACTGTGAAGTCAACTCCAGCCCCATTCAATCTGGGCACCTTCCACAAATACCTTCAGGCCCCTCAGCCTCCTTAGGATGGAGGCTCAAGAGGGGTAGTGACTTGTCTGAGGCTGCCCAGGAGGAAAGTTGCAGCACCAAGGCTCAACCCTAGGCCCTCTGTCTCCAAGTCCTTGATCTACTCTCCCAGTTTTCAAACTTTCTTTAGCCACTAGGTTCTTTCTGGAAGAGGTGGTTCTCAAACAGGGGTGACTTTATACCTCAGAGGACTTTTGACAACAGCTATAGGTATTTTTGGTTGTAAAAGCTGTGTGTGGTAGTAGGGGCAGGCAGGTGTGCCACTGGCACCCAGTGGGTGACTAGAGATCCTGCTAAACATCCTACAGGGCACAGGATGGCCCTCTAAGACAGAATTATCTGACCCAAAATGTCACTGGTAGTAGGGCTGAAAAACCAAACAGTATACAGAACGTCAGCCAAACTGCTCTGCACAGCCACTGGGAAACTGAGGAGTGGTTTGTAGATCCTGGTCTGCTCTACCAAGGAAACTTAGTAGGCCAGATCTTAGATCTTCTTGGAATCTGATCTAAGTTTAGTTTAAACTCTGGTTTAGTTATCTCTTCTCAAGTCAGCATGGACTGGGGGACTGTGTTTGATTCATCTCTGCTCACTGTAAGGTCCCCAACAAAAGCCTGACTTACAGCCCACAAGAATGAAGGTCTGTTGGCTGGAATGTAGCATGCAGGGGAAATAAGCCTCATGGGATATGTCTGCTCTTTCTCTTCCTGGTAGGTTTGGCCCAGGGAACTTGAGGTGAACCAAACCCTCCTGGCAGGCCGACAAGTCCCTTACCAGAGTGAGAGAGGATGTGAGCCTTCAACTTGTCCGGCCGGTTGAACTCCTTACTGCAGCCAGTGTGTGTCCTAAAACCCAAAGCCATGGTCAAGGGGAGCTTCCCAAGCTTACAACTCTCTGGCTGGCCCCTCCAATAGCCCCGGGCATAAGGAATACCCTTGTCCACCCTAAGGGCTGGGCAAGAAGTAGGGTGAGTGAGGTTAGCAGGACCCAGGACAGGATAAAAGGAGAGAGGCCTTCCACCCTCAGGCCTGACTTTCTGCCCCATCCTCCCTGGCGGTCCCTCTGGGGAATCTGCCCCCACCCCGCTGCATGGCAGTCTCTACTCACGAGAAGGGGCATTTGTATTTCTTGAAGGGCTCATGGATCAGCATGTGTCTCTTCAGTTTGTCCTTGCGGTTGAACGCAGACTCACACACTGAGCATTTGTAGGGCTTCTCACCTGCAGAAGACACACAGGCAGGAAGAGCAAAAGCCCCATAAGGGGTCTGTATACAGGGCCTGGGTCCCCACTGGCCACTCAGGGCAGCAGCTCGTCTGGCGGGGTGTCCTGGAGGGAAAACAGCCTCTTATTCCTCCAGACTTTGTTTTGCCATGGAGAGGAGGGGCTATTTTAGATAGGGTGGTCAGGTGGAGGAGACCGGCCATAGCAAGAGCAGGCCATGTGGAGACCTGGGATAGGGTCCCAGCCCAAAAGGGAAAGCAAGTGCAAAGGCCCTGAGGTAGGAGCATGTTGGTGTCTGAGGCCCAACAGGAAGGCCCATGTGGCTGGAAGAGAGAGTGTGGAGGGACAATGAGGAAGGAGGCAAAGTCAGCAAGGCAGCCAGGCCCTACTAGGAGGACCTGGGAGGACAAGCTAAGGACTTTGGCTATTAGTCCAAACCAGATGAGATGCCATGACAGGCTCTCAGCAGAGAAAGGACAGGATCCACTTAAGGTTTTTTGGTTTGGGTTTTTTTTTTTTTTGAGATAGAGTCTCACTCTGTTGTCCCAGATAGAGTGCTGTGGCATCATAGCTCACAGCAACCTTAAACTCCTGGGCTTGAGCCATCCTCTTGCCTCAGCTTCCCAAGTAGCTGGGACTATAAGGGTGTACCACTACACCTGGCTAGTTTTTCTATTTTTAGTAGAAATGGGGTCTCACTCTTGCTCAGGCTGGTCTCCAACTCCTGAGCTCAAGCAATCCACCCTCCTCAGCCTCCCAAAGTGCTAAGTTTACAGGCCTGAGCACTTAGGATCCACTTAAGGTTTTAACAAGCTCCCTCTTGGGTGCCTGTAGCTCAGTAGTTAGGGTTCTGGCCACATGCTCCGGGGATAGTGGGTTCGAACCCAGCCCAGGCCTGTTAAACAAACAAACAAACAAACAAACAAAAAATATAGCTGGGCATTGTGGTGGGTACCTGTAGTCTCAGGTATTCCTAGGGAGGCTGAGGCAAGAGAATCACTTGAGCCCAAGAGTTTGAGGTTGCTGTGAACTATGATGCCACAGCACTCTACTGAGGGTGACAAAGTGAGACTCTGTCTCAATAAAAAAAAAAAAACAGGCTCCTTCTGGCTGACAGAAGTGAGGTGGAGGCCAGTACAATAGACAGGACCTGTTCAAGACAGGCTATGTTGGGAAAGTAGAACAGCAGCCCTTGCCCATGGAGTGACTGTGGGTTGTGTGAAGAAGAAAGGAGTCAAGGGTGAGTCTGAAGTGTGGCCTGCTGGGAAGGGTGGAAGGTCAAGGCATTCACTGCAGTGGCATCCACCATGGGGAAGGAGGAAATCTAACTATCTAACTGAACCCTCATAAGAAACCACGGGACAAGTACTACCACGATCTCCATTTTATAGACAAGAAGACTGACTGAAGGCTGGGCTCACGCCTAGGATGAGGTAGGCACATAGCTTCAAGACCAGCCTGAACAAAAAGCCAGACTCTGTCTCCACTAAAAAAAAAAAAAGAAAGAAAAACTGATGAGGCAAGAGGATCGCTTGACCCCAAGAGTTGGAGGGTGCTGTGAGCTATGATGCCACTGCACTCTACCCAGGGCAATGGCTTGAGACACTGTCTCAAAAATAAATAAATAAATAGAGCCTGGTATTGTGGTGGGCACCTGTAGTACCAGCTACTTGGGAGGCTGAGGCAAAAGAATCACTTAAGGGCAATACCTGTGGCTCAGTGGGTAGGGCGCTGGCCCCATGTACTAAGGGTGGCAGGTTCAAACCTGGCCCCAGCCAAACTGCAACAAAAAAGAATAGCTGGGCATAGTAGCTGTAGTCCCAGCTACTCAGCAGGCTGAGGCAAGAGAATTGCCAAAGCCCAGGAGTTGGAGGTTGCTGTGAGCTGTGTGACACCATGGCACTCTACCAAGGAAATAAAGTGAGACTCTGTCTCTATAAAAAAAAAAAAAAAAGAATGACTTGAGCCCAGGAGTATAAGGTTGCTGTGAACTACGACGCCATGGCGCTCTACTGAGGGCAACAAAGTGAGATTCTGTCTCAATAAATAAATAAGCCAATCTAGTTGATTTGGAAATTCTGGTTTTTATATTGGAATGTGCTACAATCCTTAAGAAGATTAAGGTCAATCTGTGTTGCCTGATTTGGACAAACCTCCTAGACATATTTCCAGAGGAGAAAGAAAACTGTAGAACAGCTTAACATGGTCCCATTTTTTTTTTTTTTTTTTTTTTGAGGCAGAGCCTCAAGCTATCACCCTGGGTAGAGTGCTGTGGCATCACAGCTCATAGCAACTTCCAACTTCTGGGCTCAAGCGATTCTCCTACCTCCACCTCCCAAGTAGTTGGGACTACAGGTGCCCGCCACAATGCCCGGTTATTTTTTGGTTGCAGCCATCATTGTTGTTTGGGGGGCCTGGGCTGGATTTGAACCTGCTAGCTCAGGTGTATATGGCTGGCGCCTTAGCCACTTGAGCCACAGGCGCTAAACTATGGTCCCATTTTTGTTAGAAAAAATACAATCTTCATAACCCCCAAAGCCCTAGCCATGTGCATTTGTATATAAACTGAAGATACAGCTGGCGTGGTGACTCACACTTGCAATCTCAGCACTCTGAGAGGCTGAGGTGAGTGGACTGTTTGAGCTCAGGACTTCAAGACCAGCCACAGCAAGAGCAAAACCCTGTCTCTACTAATAATAGAAAAAAATTAGCTGGGTGTGTGTCAGGCACCTACAGTCCCAGATACTCAGGAGGCTAAAGCAAGATCACTTGAATTTGCATCTGGCAAAATATTTCTAATTCTCTTCCCCAAAGGTAACTCCTGTTAATGGTCTAGTATGGGTCTTGACTCAAGAAAAGCCCAAGAGTTTGAGGTTGCTCTGAGCTATGATGCCATAGCACTCTAACCAGGGCAACAAAGTGAGACTCTATCTCAAAAGAAGATACAGAAGGGTTGGTAGTGTTGGGAGAGAGAAAGGAAGAATTTAACATTTTATTCTATGTACTTCTATATTGCTTCCATTTTTTTTACCTTGAGATAGTCTTAACTCTGTTGCCTTGGGTAGATTGCTACGGTGTCATAGCTCACAGCAAACTCAAACTTCTAGGTTTGAGCAATCCTCTTGCCTCAGCCTCCTGAGTATCTGGGACTACAATTGCCTGCCACAATGTCCACCTAATTTTTGCTATTTTTAGTAGGGACAGGGTCTCACTCTTGCTCAGGCTGGTCTTGAACTCCTGAGTGTAAGCAATGCACCTCGCACTCAGCCTCCCAAAGTGCTAGGATTACAGGCATGAGCCACCATGCCCAGTCTGCTTCCATTTTATGAGCACATATTACTTTTGAATAATAATAATTTAAAAACCCATAAAGAGAACAGTTTGGTAATATCAATCCAAATTAACTTCTCTTTCTTTTTTTAACTCTGTCACCCAAGCTAGAGTTCAGCGGCCTGATCACTCAAATCTCAAATCAAGCTACCCTGGGCTCATGTGATTCTCTTCACTCAATCTCCCCAGTAGCTGGTATTATAGGCCTGCACCAACACACCTGGCTAGTTTTTTGTATTTTTTAAAAGATGGGTCTTGCTGGTTGCCCACGCTAGTCTCACACTCCTGGCTGATAAAGTGATCCTCCCACCAAGGCCTCCCCAAGTGCTAACAGGAGCCACCACACCCAGCCTCTTTTTCATGTGTGGTAAATACATATACCATAAGATTTACCATTTTAGCCACATTTAAGTGTACAGTTCAGTGGCATTAAGTACATTTGCATCACCACCATGTATCTCTAGAATTTATCATTATCCCAAACTGAAACTCAATACTGAACATACATGTTATTTTATTTATTTTTATTTATTATTATTTTTTTAAGACAGAACCTCAAGCTGTCGCCCTGGGTAGAGTGCCATGGCATCACAGCTCACAGCAACCTCCCCCTCCTAGGCTCAAGCAATTCTCCTGCCTCCACCTCCCTAGTAGCTGAGATTACAGGCACCTGCCATAATGCCTGGCTATATTTTGGTTGCAGCCATCATTGTTGTTTGGCTGGCCCAGGCTGGATTCGAACCTGTCAGTTCAGGTGTATGTGGCTGGCACCTTAGCAGCTTGAGGCACAGGCACTGAGCCTGCACATACATTTTAACCTAGCATTTCCACTGCTAAAAACATACATTACAAATATACTCAGAAAGCTTGCCAAGGGACCCACACCACATTGTGTATACAAACTCATAGCTGAAAAAAAATTTAAGTGTTCATCCATACAGAGCTGCCTAAAACCAGACAGAAAGTCCACAGAGGGGATACTACAGCTGTGAAGAAGAAGGTGCTGTCAGAGAATAAGGTATATTGATACAAAAAAAGGGTACACAGTTGTATCATGTGCTTATTTTTCATTAAAGTAAGGAAGTATGTTGTATGGATATATAATTAAACCAGAATAAGCCACACTAGACCACTAATAAGAGTTACTTTGGGGGGCTTGGGCACCAGCCACATACACCATAGCTGGCAGGTTCAAATCCAGCCCGGGGCCTACCAAACAACAATGACAACTACACCCAAAAAAAAAAAAAAACATAGCTGGGTGCCTGAGTCCCAGCTACTTGGGAGGTGAGGCAAGAGAATCGCTTAAGCCCAAGAGTTTCAGGTTGCTGTGAGCTATGATGCCCTGCCCAGGACTACAGTTTGAGACTCTGTCTCAAAAAAAAAAAAAGAGTTACCTTTGGGGAAGGGAATAAGGAGTATTTTGCCAGCTGCAAACTACAAATCACAACCTGTTGGTGGTTACTATAAAAACTAAAATTGAACAGAACGAAACAGAAGATATTGGGAAGTTTGGAGCAGGGAATGTCCTGATCATTTGTATGTTTTACAGACTTCTCTAGCTCCCCTGTGGGGTCTGAGAAGGAGGAGGCTGGGCAAGAGTTGGTAGGGGGCAGAGTACCCACCTGAGTGGATATGAGCGTGCAGTTTGAGGTAGTGCTCCCGCCGGAAGAACTTCTTGCATACCTGGCACTTGAACCTGCCCCCATTGCCATGGGTGGGCAGATGACGCCGCAGGTAGCGTTCACAAGGAAACACCTGGCAGAAGAGAAGCGTGGACTTCAAGTCTGATTCACCAAGGCCCCCTTCCATCACCATCCTCTCAGCTCAAGGGGCCCCTCATTTCCAGCCCTAGGGAGACACCTTACTTTCTGCCTACCAGGGCCCATGGCCCATGGTGTCAGACTCAGACCTCAGATCTTCATTTTTTAACTCTGTCACCCAGGCTAGAGCTCAGACTCAACCCTCAGATCTTCTTTTTTTATCTTCTTAGTTTCATGGTTCCCACCATTACCTATGAGTCCCACTGAAACATGCCTGCTTTGAGCTTCCATCCAAGATCCTCTTCCTACCCAGAGGGCCTTTCTCTCTGACAAATTCCTACTCAGACCTCAACTTCAAGACCAGACTCGGTGTCACTGCTTTTTTGAAGCCATCCATGACTACTTCATGCCATGCCAGGCAAAGCAAATTCTGCCTTTGAATGTCAGCATTTAACCCACTGGATGACAGCCCTTTGCTCACACAGGAACTCCAAGAGGACAAAGAGCTTTCGTTCCCCAGCACAGGGCCTGAGGCAAATAACTGACAAGTAGAGGAATGGATGGAAAAAATGAACAAATAACTACAGGAATGAATGCAAAGGTAATAAAAAAGCTGAAAACACAGAAGCCAAAATCTCTTTCCAATTCAAGCCAAGAAAAGGCATTAATTCATTCACTTGGTAAAGTGGTAGTCAAGGGCAAAGACTCAACTTGCCCTACTATGTATTAGCCCTATCATTTCCTAGCTGGGTGACCTTTCTGTGCCTTAGTTTCCCCATCTGTCAGATGGGGATAGTAAGAGTACACCTACCTCCTAGAGTATAAATGAGTCAATTCAGGTAAAATGCTCAGAACAGTGTCTGGCACATGAATCTTGTCCAATTCACGGTATCTTTTACTTGGATCACAAATTCCAAAGCTCAAAATTAGGCTATATAATTAGAAACATCTAGAATGAGGCCAAAGTGAAACCAGGGCTGCCCTGGACAATCTGCTATGTAAGGTTGTAAGAAAATGAGCAGGATGCAGAAACAACTTAAACACACTAGGATGACATAATCAGCAAAATCCAGGCTGTGAAAAACTCCACAGGACCAATGGCTCAGTTTCTTTAGCAAAGAAAAGAGGGGAATAAAAGGAATAATGGTTGGGAAACTGCAGATTAATAGAAACTTATGTAGTATCAGTCTATCACAACCTATGGACCTGATTTAAAGTTTACAAAAGTAATGATGGGCTTGGCACCTGTAGCTCAGTGGCTACGGTGCTGACCACATACACTGAGGTTGGCGGGTTCTAACCCGGGCTGGAACAGCTAAAACAACAATGACAACTGCAACAACAACAACAACAACAAAATAGCTGGGCGTTGTGGTGGGTGCCTGTAATCCCAGCTACTTGAGAGGCTGAAGCAAGAGAATCGCTTGAACCCAAGAGTTTGAGGTTCCTATGAGTTGTGATGCTATAGCACTCTACCAAGAGCGACATAGTGAGACTTTGTCTCCAAAAAAAAAAAAACAAATTAAAAGGTAATGCTGATTTGAGATAGCTGGATATTGGAACATTTCCTGGATATTTGATAATATTAGGAACAGGTTTTAGTGAGGGCTTCCAGAGTCACTGACAAGAACAACCAATAATAGTAAGAATGATAATCCATTAAGAAACTGGGAGCCCGTTGCTCAGAGGCTGGGCCTGGACCCAGGAGAGGCCTTAGCCTATATGGTCCATCCTGGCCTGGCTCAGCAGAAGCCCAGCATGGCCACACCTGGAATGTAACAGCTGAGACGGGCAGCAGAGCTCTTGCTCTTCAAAGATACAGTGTCATCTATGGAGATGTCCTTGAGCCCAACCTGTATGTACTGAGATAGAAGGGAAGAACAAAAGGGTGAGGTGTATACCCATCATCTCCTTGCTTCTATATGGCTAGAGGCACCCACCTTCTGGCAGTGTGGGCAGGGGAAGTTGTGAGTGGCGGTCTGCAGGTGGTGTTCCAGGGCTTCAGGAGTGGAGTATTTGTTGACACATTTGACACACCTAAGTGGGAAGGAGCAGGAGAGGTGAGAAAGGAGACCCAGCAGACACAGGGACAAGCCCCCCACCCCAAGGCTGACATTAGGACACAAAAGACTATATGTGTGTGTGTGTGTGTGTATATATATACACATTTTTTTTATACAGAGTCTCAAGCTGTTGCCCTGGATAGGGCTCATCATAACTCACAGCAACCTCTAACTCCAACACAAGCGATCCTCTTGCCTCAGTTTTTCTATTTTTAGTAGAAATAGGGGTCTCGATTATTGGTTGTTATTGCTCAAGCTGGTCTCGAACTCATGAGCTCAAACTATCCACCCGCCTTATAGGTGTTAGCCACTGCGCCTGGCCAAAAAGCTACATTTATTAATGATTCAGTCTCAAATCCATTCACTCTTCTCTATGGCCACTGCCTCTGTCCTAATCTGAGCTGCCATAACCTCTTGCTCAGACATGTACAGTAGCCTTCTCACTGACCTGTCTGCACCCATGCTCCCCGCTGTAGTCCATCTCCATACCTTAGGTGTATGTGGCTGGTGCCTTAGCCACTTGAGCCATAGGCACTGAGCCATGTTCCCAGATTCTTGAAATAGATCTTATTTAGTCTGAGCAATATGCTATCCTATAACACCATAATAACAGGGAACTTTTTTTTTTGACAGACCCTCAAGCTGTCCCCCTGTGTAGAATGCTATGGTTTCACTGCTCACAGCAACCTCCAACTCCTGGGCTCAAGTGAGTCTCCTGCCTCCGCCTCCCAAATAGCTGGGACCACAGGCGCCCGCCGCAACACCTGGCTATTTTTTTGGTTGCAGCCATTATTTTTGTTTGGCGGGTCCGGGCTGGATTTGAACCCGCCACCTTAGGTGTATGTGGCTGGCGCCTTAGCTGCTTGAGTCACAGTTGCCGAGCCAATAACAGGGAACTTTAACACGCCTCTCAAAGAGCTGGACAGATCTTCTAAACAGAAATTAAACAAAGATATGAGGGACTGAAAAAAAATATATATATAAGGGACTTAAATGAGACCTTAGAACAATTGTGCTTGATAGACATATTTAGAACACTCCATCCCAAAGATAAAGAATATATATTCGGGGTGGTGCCTATGGCTCAAGGAGTAGGGTGCCAGCCCCATATACTGGAGGTGGTGGGTTCAAACCCAGCCCTGGCCAAAAAACTGAAAAAAAAAAAGAAAAAAAGAATAGACATTCTTCTCATCGCTCCATAGAACATTCTCCAAAATCGATCATATCCTAGGACACAAAACAAACCTCAACAGAATCAAAAGAATTGAAATTTTACCTTGTATCTTCTCAGACCACAAGGCACTAAAGGTGGAACTCAGCTCCAACAAAAACATTCAACCCCACACAAAGGGATGGAAAATAAACAACCTTATGCTGAAAGACAGTTGGGTGCAGGAAGAAATAAAAGAAGAAATCATTAACTTCCTTGAGCATAACAACAATGAAGACTCAAGCTACCAAAACCTGTGGGATACAGCAAAAGCAGTCCTGAGAGGAAAATTTATTGCTTTAGATGCCTGCATTCTGAAAAACAGAATGAGAGAGCATCAACCAACTCACAAGCCATATTATGGGATTGGAAAAAGAAGAACAATCTAAGCCAAAACCCAGCAGAAGGAAAGAAATATCCAAAATTAATCAGAGATTAATGAAATTGAAAACAAAAGAATCATTCAGAAAATTAATGAAACAAGGAGTTTATTGAAAAAATAAATTAAATACATAAACCTTTGGCCAGACTAACTAGAAATAGAAAATAAAATCTCTAGTATCTGAATCAGAAATGATAAAGGGAAAATAACACTGATGCCACAAATATACAAGAGATTATCTCTGAATACTACCAGAAACTGAATAGTATAGGCATATGTGGCACATTTCTGAAACTGATCGAAGCTATCTATGACAAACCCACAGCTAATATCTTACTGAATGGAGTAAAACTGAAAGCTTTTCCACTTAGAACTGCAACCAGACAAGGTTGCCCTCTGTTACCATTACTATTCAACATAGTGCTGGAAGTTGTAGCCAATACAATTAGGCAAGACAAGGAAATAGGCTCAGCACCTGTAGCTCAAGTGGCTGGGGCACCAGTCACATATACCTAAGTTGGCGGGTTCGAATCCAGCCCGGCCCGCCAAACAACAATGATGGCTGCAACAACAACAACAACAAAATAGCCAGGCATTGTGGTGGGTCCCTGTGGTCCCAGCTACTTGGGAGGCTGAGGCAGGAGACTCACTTGAGCCCAGGAGTTGGAGGTTGCTGTGAGCTGTGAGGCCACAGTACTCTACCCAGGGGGACAGCTTGAGGCTCTGTCTCAAAAAAACAAAACAAAACAAAAAAAGACAAGGAAATAAAGGGCATCGAAATGGGAGCAGAGGTCAAACTCTCCCTTTTTGCTGATAATATGATCTTATACTTAGAGAACCCCAAAGACTCAACCACAAGACTCCTGGACATCATCAAAAAATACAGTAATGTCTCAGGATATAAAATCAATGTCCACAAGTCAGTAGCCTTTGTATACGCCAATAACAACTAAGATGAGAGGCTAATTAAGGATACAACTCCCTTCACCACAGCTTCAAAGAAAATGAAAAACCTAGGAATATACCTAACAAAAGAGGTGAAGGACCTCTATAAAGAAAATTATGAAACCCTAAGAAAGGAAATTGTAGGGGATATAACAAATGGAAGAACATACCATGCTCATGGTTGGGAAGAATCAACATTGTTAAAATGTCTATACTTCCCAAAGCAATCTACCAATTCAATGCCGTCCCTATTAAAATACCAACATCACACATTCAAGACTTGGAAAAAATGATTCTGCATTTTGTATGGAACCAGAAAAAAACCCATATAGCTAAGGCAGTTCTTAGTAATAAAAACAAAGCTGGGGGCATCAGCATGCCAGATTTTAGGCTATACTACAAGGCCACAGTGGTCAAGACTGCATGGTACTGGCACAAAAATAGAGACATAGACATTTGGAATTGAATAGAAAATCAGGAAATGAAACTAACATCTTACAACCACCTAATCTTTGATAAACCAACATACCCTGGGGAACATACACTGGGGGAAAGACTCCCTATTCAATAATTGGTGCTGGGAGAACTGGATATCCACATGTAAAAAACTGAAACTGGACCCACACCTTTCTCCACTCACAAAAATTGATTCAAGATGGATAAAGGACTTAAATTTAAGGCATGAAATGATAAAAATCCTCAAAGAAAGCATAGGAAGGCTTGGCGCCTATAGCTCAACCGGCTAAGGCG